ACTCAAAATCCACATTTTCAAAACAGTTAACGCAGAGGCCTAAACATTGACACAGTGGTCAAAATGACACATATTTGCAAAAGGCAACAACTGTGTCAAAACATTTAAAATATGGAACAAAAGCAAACTTTGCCTTCAAACAATTCAACTTTGACACAATGTATGAGCACCTCTAAACAATCAATACACAATAGGCAACAAAATACAGCACTCGTGTGTGTGTGTGTGTGTGTGTGTGTGTGTGTGTGTGTGTGAGTGAATCAGTGCACCATTATTTGTCATTGTAGCCTATGACTGTGCGTAGCATCCGTAGCATCTGAGAGGTTCCCAGTTCCTTCAAACAGGTCAAACCAGTCAATAAAAACTGTAACTGCTGTGAAACTATGTTCTGAGATTCATTGTGACTAATTCCTGCTTTTCCTTCGCAGGTATCCTGACACTTATTCTAACCAATCCGATCTGGGTCACTAAGACCCAGCTGGTTCTGCAGTACAGCCCTGACCAAACCAGTAAGCAGTACAAGGGGATGGTGGATGCTCTGGTTAAGATCTACCGCAGAGAGGGGGTTCCAGGACTTTACAGGGTGATACTTCAGTTTATTTAGACTTCCATATAATTAAATAATCCAGGTTATATTTGATTTATCAAATGCTAAAATAACTGTGGATAAGTTAAACTGCTGAGGCTATTTTAGTAACAATACTGCTCTGCTTTTTGTCTAAATTCTACTCATTGTAATAATTTAGCATGAGATCATCATTGGCCACTAGAGGGCATCACCAGCCCTTATAACGCCTGTAAGTGTACTTATGTGTTTTTGGGTGTTCAGAGAAGARCTGACTGAATTCTGTTTGAAAGGGTTTTGTTCCTGGTCTGTTTGGTACATCACATGGAGCTCTGCAATTCATGGCCTACGAAGAGCTTAAAAGAACCTACAGCAAATACAAGAATGTGCCCTTGGACACTAAGTTGGTGAGTAGAGCTCTAGAGCTCAGCGACAAACAAGTCAGTGGTCGGTTTTTCTGCTCTGCTCACCATTTGTCTGTGTTTGTAAGCAGAACGCTCTGGAATACATCACAATGGCAGYGTTATCCAAACTGTTTGCTGTGGCCACAACATACCCATACCAGGTGGTTCGAGTTCGCTTGCAAGATCAGCACAACAAATACAACGGAGTTATGGATGTCCTCAGGCGGACGTGGAGGTATGATGCTGAATAGGCCATGACTGAGGAATAAAGTGTGAACCAAGTTCAATAAAACAGTCTGACTTGACAAAGCCTAACTCTTCAATAAGAAATTACAGGCTATGGTAGTTTTGATGTTAACTTTGTTGAATTCCTAATATAAGCATCATTTGATGCTTCTTATGCTCAAAACACAAAAATCTAACAAAGTTATAGGGAAAACTGCACTCCCCAAGATTTCATTTATTACGGACAGCAGGTTGTAACCAATTAACTCAAAGTCAAGAATAAACAAACATTATTTATTATTCTGAACAAACTACCTGCTGCTGTTTAGGTCACAACACTAATATTTTAAACTTTTAACTTCATAATCTAAAGATTTATTTCAGTCCTAACTCTGTCCCATAATGTGCAAACAACTTAAATAATCAAATCAGTTATCTAATATTCTGTGTTGTGCAGAGGCACTAATAAATAATGTTTCTTAATAATCACTTAATGGACATTAAATCCAGACAAATAAAAAAAGTCTTTTGGACATTCTCAGCTTGTAACTGCAGATTCGTAGGGATGAGCAGTAGGGATGTGAGAGTTCACAAGAGCCAGCATGAGACACACAGGATTGGTCAAAAAAATGTTTCTAATTTATTTACAAAAAAAACAAACAAAAAAAAACTGCAGCTTTGGGCCTATAAAAGAGGTCAACATAAGATAACTTCAACTAAGATCCCAGCTTAGGAATTAAAGTAAAACTGACCTTCTTGACTAAGACATGAGAACTTATAAAGTGGCTGATCAGGCCATTCTGACACAGAGGGGGGAAAAAACAAAAACAAATTAGATTAGAAATACAACTACCAACAAAACTGATCAAAGTAATATTTACAATCTCAAAAATTAACTAATGGAAAACATGAGAAATGAAAGACAAGGTTTAACTTTTCCCAGTGTTGACATGCAACATGGAGTGGTCTAATGAAGCTGTGACTTCTAGATCTGCTGCAGCTGGCTCTGTTTACATGGAGTGGACACCTTCAGCAGCCTCCCCATAGGAACTGGTAACTCAAAGAAATATAAGTTAAATCATTGCAAATTAAAAAAAAACATTACAAAACTTGATAAAAAAGTTAACTAAATGTGTGCTCTTTAAATAATAATGCCAATATCAAATGATGCTAAAAGGTGAAATCAGAATACATAAATTGTCAATTATTTAACTTGAATTAATGAAATTTGTGTGCATTTACAACAAACAAAAACCCGTAAGATACCAAAAAATACTAAAATAATAACCAGAACCTTTGTTCATTGTGTGGCTGCAGGTGCTGCTGTCACAAGGGAATACAACACACGTCTGTTATGATACGATTTCAATGCAGTTCACAAGACTGCAGTTGAAACGATTTGCTATCCATCTACATCTAGCATATGATGACGATATGGATCAATGTTTTTGTTTGATGTAATTGAATCATACAACATTTAATTAATATATTGATGTGCATCAATGGTTTGTTAAAGCCCTAGTCCCCAAGCATTTTTTCCAGCTATTTATTGTGAATAAAAATAAACATTCTGACTGAATGAGAATATTTTTGTTTATGATTAAAATGGCTGAGCCCACATATTTATAAGGTTAAACTATTGAATTAAAATATATCCTTGAATAAACTGATTAAATTTGACAAATAAAATACCAACTACTGTGTTAAGCATTTAATCAACACCTAAATGTGGTGCACTGACTGACAAGATGATAAAGCTGTATTTTAAATAGTAATGTGATCCAGACGCAAACACCTGCTAGTGAATCTGAAATCTTGCTCTTTTGTTTTGTATTTATGTGTTGATGTCAAGACAAATAGTTTTAAGACTACAACAAAATCAAACAAACGGATCTCACGGCTTTGATATTTGTAGAGAAGAGAATAAATCTAGATTTTGAGTCCAGTTTGATTGATGCTCCTGACTTTCTGTGCAGGAACGAAGGAGCCGTCGGTTTCTACAAAGGCATCATTCCCAACTTGATCCGTGTCACCCCCGCCTGCTGCATCACCTTTGTGGTTTATGAGAACGTGTCCCGCTTCCTCCTGGGGACAAAATAAAACCTGCCACGGACTGCCAGCTCACGCTGACAACCTTGGAGCCGCGTGGAGACGAAGAGGACACAGTTCCTCACAGACTCTGTTTGTGGAGAAGTGCTGACGTGAGAGAAAAGTTTCCAAAGGAAGCAAAAAAAGCTACTGACAGTTGGATTATTTTTTTTTAATTTTATTTAAATTCTGAATTATTTGTGAAACATATTTGTGTTCGGACGCACAGATACAGGATGGAAGGGGCGGGGCGTAGGCTGCAGTAGTTAATGTTTACAATGTTTCTTGGCAGAAACAGCAAAACAAACCATTTAAAAATAGTTTTTCAACATTATGATGTTCTCAGGTCTCTTGTTGTGAGTTCAATATTAGTTTGTCTTTTAAATTTCTTTGTGAAATGCAACAATTGTTTTTTGTTTAAAATGCATTCATTTTAAAAAAAAATCTATGCTTTGCTCCAGACTCTAACTCCTTTTTAAAATATTTTAAATAAAATGCAAAGATGTATCATTTGATTGATAAATGTAAGCATATTAAATGCTTAGACTTGTTTAATTATGTGGTCTTTCTGAATCCCTACAACTTGACAAGTAGTTGTATCTTTCAAAAGAACAAACTTTATTGACAGTAACAGTATAAACATGACATGGAGTACATATAAACACTGTAAATGATGGCTATTAGCCACCAGCAGACTCAGCTACAGTACAGAGTATTTCTGGCAGACAGAACCACAGTTTGTATGGTTTTGTTTACAGGCCTGCCAGCTGAAACAGTATTTAAACAAAAAAAACATTCAAGTTACAATCAGTGACGCTGCGACGCCTCAGAGAGCTGACCTGATGATTTCAGAGGGCCAGATGACACAACTCCTGCTCTACAAAGACTGGAGACCTCCTTTCATGTAAGCCCGGCTCTTATTTAGGCAACTCCTCGATGATGATCCTGGAGACGGAGTTCCAGCCTGTAGACGCGTCGCCTCTGGGATAGTCGGAGCAGGTCCCCACCCACACGGCCACATCCACCAGGCCCGCTTTCACGCCCTCACACAAGCCTTCAACTGGGCGGGAGGAAACAAAGACATGGAGTTTTTGTACAATCTGTTAGTCTGTAAASCTGACTGAATAATTGTCTTTTTTTTACTCTATTCTTAAATCAAATTGACTCCAAAAGTTAATTCATTCTGAGATATTTTGCTAATTAACAGACATTAGCATAAAAGTCTAATAATGAATGGAGCCAGGATCTGTTTACAAAGGGTGTCGGTTCCATATGGTTCACATGTAGTGCTGATTGTTTCATCTCATTTCCAGTCTTCAGCTGCCCGCAGTAGTGTTGCGTTCACTGACMGTCTTCTCATCTCACTCACACACTGAGCACATTTCTGCATGGATTAGCTGCAGTCTGTTGTCTGGTTTTCTGTGAACTGGTGGAACTTTGGGATGTTGTAATCCAAAACACAAGTTAATGTGTTGAAGCTAAAAGCTGTCAAACTTCTAATATCTAATGATAAAACATGATGCTGCCAGGATCACATGTTTTATGACTGCAAATAGCAGCAGGACAGTGTTTCAGATTTTGTACATTATTGTGTTTTTTTTTTTATTGTTTCCAGTCTGTACTTTTTCTTGACCACCCAGTAGTCTGATTGCCTGTTTCTGTGCGTGTGTGTTTGCGGTTTCAGCGAAACATCTCACAAACCATTGAACAGATTTAAAAACATTTTAGAAACTACTTTTTTTTTGTAGTCAGGCTCATTCAAGATGGCCACTTCAACTAAGCAGACATAAAAACATGGCTGTGACTCAGTCTGTTTTATGTATGTCGAGCTACAGTTTGGCACCGCTGTAGCTGAGAGTCATCCTCAGCACATACTCTTGAGTGCTAACAGATAACGATAAGTCATCAGTACATGTTCCCATGCAATGATGACATTTGTGCTCTGCATTTGACCCATCACGTGTGAGATACACCCAAGAAGAGCTGCAGGGGTTAGACCAGAGCTGCCCAAAGTGGGGCCCGCGGGCCAAAACCGGTCCGCCATGTGATTTGGCTCACTAGCAGTTGTCCTGACTACTAGGTTGTATTATCCAGTTTTATGTAGAAAACTAGTCATTCCAACCACTGGTCCAACTATACAAGGAACTGTAGTGCAGATAGTCTTGACTCATGGTACTTTAATTTCTCTTTGCATTAGTCAATATTAAGATTAATCATAAAATACAATAATTACAACAGACATTTAGATTAGAAATAAACACACATCTAGATTTGCACACTTTATAAGATCACAAATACTAAAATTTTATAATTTATGAAAAGTCCCATGCGCATTTGCTGCCTGAGCATACGTCAGATTTTCAGCAATTTAAGAAGTATTTGTATTTCATGTATATTATTGTATTTGGCCCGGAGTCCCCAGATTGATTTTCGTTTTGGGCCTCTCAGGGAAAATGTTTGGTCACCCCTGGGTTCGACAATGAAACTGAAACACCTGGTTTTAGACCACAACATCCCTTTCAGACAGCTTCCTCTTGCGTCCACAGTTAATCTTGTAGGATGTGCTTCATCCTTCTTGGTGGTATGCTGACATTACCCCAATACTGTGGCTCTTGATACATCACAAAGACTTGCTGTCTTGGTCACAGATGCACCAACAATTTGTCCTGTTTTGAACTCTGGTATGTCACCCATAATGTGTGCATCACAATATTTTGAGCAAAACTGTGCTCTTCCCCTGCACCATCACACTCTGCTCTTACTGGTGCAATGTGCAGTTAATGAAGATTGGCCACCAGGCTGGTCCAATTTAGCCACGAAACCTCCCACACTAAAATGACAGGTGTTTCAGTTTTGTTGTCTAACCCTGTATATAAGTTATATAWGCACTTGGGGAGCTTGTGGACTAGGTGTCTTGCACAAGGACACCACAGCATGTGGGCTTGGTAGGGAATTGAACCTGTGACTTTCTGGTCACAAGACAACTGTCCAACCACCTCACCACAACCACTGCTTGGGGTCCTGCTAAACTGCATGACACTGCACATAGTTTGACTAAAGCCGCTACAACTTCACCCCCTCTCGTCATGATATGGTCTCAGTCTAAAACCGGCAGAGAATAAAGTTGATGTTGAGTGAATCTGGCTTCATCTATTGCATGTTACTGAGGAGTTCAGTTTGTGGAAGTGTACCGTATTTACGCTTTCTGTTTTTGTTTGCCTTGGCACAAGTTACATGTCATTAAAAAAGACTTCTCCTTCCACAATGTTAGACTGTTGTAGCGCAGACACATCGTCACTCTTCCACTGCTGTGCTCGGACCTTTGCAGTGTTTTCTATGATTTGCTTGTTCTGCTCATCCTACCTGAGGACGTTCTGTGGATGTTGATGGTCGAGTTGAGTTCTGGACTGCCCTGGTCCAAGTAGATGATGGACTCCACAGGCAGGGGTCCCGTGCACTCCGCGCCGTTGAAGGTGAAGTACCACCTCTGGCAGCAGGCGTTCTTGCACTTGAGCCGCAGGGAGCCRCTGAAGAGGACTCTGAGCGCGCTGTCTGAGCGCAGCTTGGTGAACGTGCAGTCCTGAGACACAGAGCGGGGTCAGCCRTGAGCAGGCGTGGAACGTGCATGTGCGTGTGTGGACATACGCAGATACCTACGGCCACTTTCCCCAGGTCGATGCCATAGTTCAGAGAGTTCCAGGCACACTGCTTGTAGYTGGGTTTCCACGGCTCCTCAAAGATCTCACTCACACATTCCCCCTTCTCGCCTTTGAGCCCGTCGCGGCCCGGAATACCCGGCGTCCCCGGGATGCCGTTGGCTCCTGGATTACCGTCTCTGCCCGGGGTGCCTGACGGGCCCTGCATGCAGCTGCCGTACTAACAAAGAAAACACAAAGAAAAATAAGGATGCTGACAACGCCACAGCTCAGTCTGTTATTGCCTGTCTGTGTGTGTGCTTGCTTGTGTGTCTGTTAGCAACAGATCTCATGAGCCAATGGACCGATTTTATCGAAACCTTCAAAAAGTAGTTATTGGATAAACACCTACAACTGATTAACTATTGGAGTCAATGGAGTTCAGCATGACTGCCACAACCAACCAACTTTACAAAATACATAAATGTCTATAAGTTTGTCAGTTTTAAAGACATCAAGCTAAAAATTGGTGTGGTAATAGTTGAGCATCATCCCCAGTACACATGCTAGGGCTAATAGATTGTGGGAGAGTCTGCCTAAAACATATGCCTTTGATTGTTGGAGTCGACCCTGTTTGTCTGTTAGCAGAGTATCTTATAAATCACTGAATGGATTTTGATCAAACTTTCAGAAAGTAGAAGCTGAAGCTGCTGCCCCCGCGACCCGACCCCGGATAGGCGGAAGAAAATGGATGGATGGATGGATGGATGGATGGATGGATGGATGGATGGGTGGATGGATGGATTTCAGAAAGTAACCAGTGGATGGATAAAGAACACTGATTACCTTTTTGATTCAACCCAATTCAAGATGGCCGCCATAAGCAACTGACCTTAGAAAACAGAAAAACAGCTGCAACTTGGTTTATTTTACACATTATRAGCTATTTTCTGGTGTGGTAGCAACTGAATGTCGGGCTACACATTACATAAAATATTTACTTAAAACTTTGTTACTAAATGTATGGAGGACCTGTTTGTCTGTTAGCAAAGTATTTCATGAACCACTGGACAGATTAAAATGAAATTTTCCTAAATTAATCTTTGGATGCAYGTCAACAAAATTATTATATGCTCTTAGTGCTAAAAGACCCCATGCACAATCCTATGATATAAGATGTTGCATGTTTGGGTTTTTCTTTTTCTTTTCTTTTTTTTACTATATTTTCTCCTTCTTTTCTCAACAATATGTTCCTGGTTTCAAACTCTGGCATGGATGAGCAGCAAACTGCATTTCAAGGAATGCTAGGCCTTTAACTATCAATGCTCTTGCTCCATATGAATTTATATTTGAAGCCACATGAAGCATCATTACACCTCCCTTACAGATCATGTAAATAAATACACCTGTGGGGTTCAGTTTGAATCTTAAAGCTGGATGAAAAGCTGCTGAACGGACAAACATGAAGCCGCAGAGTTAATAAATGACAGACTGTGTGTTAATGAGGGACTGAAGGCATAAATTAGTGGGTGTCTGGCCACACATGTCTCATAGTGATTCATTGTCCCGTTGAATTGGTTATTTTTAAACAGATGCTGCGTCTTCACTGAAGCTGACTCACACACAAACAGGCGGCGCGGCCAAACGCTGCCACATTCACATCCGCACACAATGGATGGGTCCAAACCGAGGTGAAGAATATGTTCCTTTGAACACGCTGGGACCGGGAGATTGCAGTGCACGGGGTATGCCAATGCTTTATTTTTAGCTGCAGACAGGTTTTAATTTTGGTTTCGGTGATTTGCAAGTCATGCCCTCAGCCGGGACGTCGGTTATAAACAGACACGTAAGAAGTGCGTCCCAAGACTTTAGCCAGAAGCCAAAAGCAGCTGATTATGGTTTTTTTTTTTTTTTTGGAGAGTTATTGCTGCCCTTTAGCTCAGCAGGACATGAGTAGTATGTGGCAGGAAGCAGGAGGGAAGAACAAAGAGCTTTTCTTCAAGTTTTAACATCTTGTCCTGACTTGAGTCTCGGGGCTAAAGACAAAAAAACCCACCTAATCTGGAAAATCACTTAAAAGTACTCTACTGTCAGCTGTTCCTGAACATAATGGTTGGGAGTCTGTTTGAGCCATTAAGATGAAGTAACCTGAAGGCACAAGACCTTACATCATCTCTATAGGAAACTGGGACGTCTGAGGGTTGACTGGTTGAGTGAACTGGAACAGAGCTGGAATGAGGGGAAAAGGATAAGAGACTCCGGTCCACCTTGACTTACTGGTGACCCAATGTGGAAAAGATGCACAAAACCTGGTGTRGAGTCAGCAAGGAAACGGTTCCAGATTTTATTAAGGCTTGAAAGGTTTTCAAAGCAAACCCATGAATGGAAACTCTGTCCACTTAACCACACAACTTAGTTTTCTATTAACTCCCAGAATGCTCCATTCTATAGTGAGGGTCCCTCAGCAGCACACAGTCCGTTACTGTAACTGCAGGCATAAAGGCTGCTTTCGGCCAGAAGCGCAGAGARATCTAYGGCTTTTCATGCATAAACCAACACCAAAGCAGGGGCCAGAAGCGTTCCTGGATCATGCAGAGCGTGTGGACATAAAGCTGATTCAAACCACCTCAGTAAAAGATGCAAAGGATGGAGAGTTTTCTGATTACCATGCTGTTCAAAGCAGAGGATCTTCCTTCACCGGAGTGTCTAGTGCAGTTGGGCTTTTCTGCATCATTTCCAGTGCACTAGATACAGACGGTGAGAAAATATGCTGTTCATTAGATGCTCCACATGTGGGCACAGTTGTGGAATAAAGAAGAGGAACTGCACAAGCTCAGTGGCTTTGAAAGTGGAGAAGGCAGAAGATTTCTGGGGGTGGGAGAAGGGGCACTGGTTCTAGTCCCAGCAAAATGATTCAAGAGATAAATGAGYCAAATTTGGGCCTTCACCCAAGAACTGAAAGTTGTATCGTTTTACACAAGTATGCTTTAATACTGAGCAAGTAAATCAGTGAGAAACAAAAAACATATTGGTATACTGTTTCCCTGGTTWTGATTTTTTTCATAAGTTTGTTATTTAATCAGTTATTTAAACATGAAAATGTTCAGCTCATTCAGTAGACAGCTGTTTTTTTATTTTTTTTTTTGTAACTTTTCTGTAAGCTTTTTCACAATATTTCACTTCATTTACATATATTCTTCCATAGAATTACACTGAGATCTATTAATTCTTTCAGAAACCTTGTTGGTTCTGCTTCTGCTGACTGATTTTTTTTCTTCTTCTTATGTGTTTTTAGATTTTAGCTAGTCTTGCTACTTTTAGCTTTTGGCTAACCTGCTATCTGTAGCTTTTAGCTACTGTTAAATTTAGGTATCCTCTTTCTACTTTTAAATTTTGCTCACCTTTTGCTTTCAGTTAAACTTTTGTTACTTTCCTCTTTTAACTAATATTTAGTTACATTTAGTTTTCAGCTATAGCCTTTTGTTACTTTTAGTTATCCTTTGACTACTTCTAATTTTAGCTACTTTTAGTTTATGGCAAGCCTMCTGCTATTTTAAGCTATTGTTCTGCTTCTGTTAAGCAAGCCTTTTGCTACATTGTGCTGCTTTTAGCTTGTGGCGAGTCTAATTTTCTACCAGCCTTTTGTTATTTTTAGCTTTTACTTCTTAAGCTTTTAGATGGTCTTTTGTTCCRTTAACTTTAGCTGTAATTTTGTAATTTTTAGCTACTATTGTTTTATAACTTTTTCAACCTTCTGCTACATTTAGCCAACTTTTTATTTCTTTAAGCTGGTATTTTGATACTTTTTATGGAAGCCCATTTCCGCCACCCTGATAAAAAAATAAAACGTATCTCATAATTATGACTTAGCTATCTCATTATTATGAGAAACTATCTCATAATTATGAGATAGTTTCTCATATGAGATAGTTTCTCATAATAATGAGATAGCTAAGTCATAATTATGAGATAGAATCTTATAATAATGAGATTGCTAAGTCATAATTATGAGATAGCTAAGTCATAATTATGAGATAGCTAAGTCATAATTATGAGATACAAGTTTTATTTATTTTTTTTATCAGGGTGGCGGAAATGGGCTTCCATAACTTTTAGTTTTCAGCGTCTGTTCTGCTATTTTCAGCTTTAGCCTGTTGTGACCTAACTCAGCTTCAGCTTCCTCAGTGTTCACACAGCCACACACACAGCAGTTAGCAGAAAATGTTACTTCTTTAGTTATTATTAGCTGTCAGAAACAATCTGTCACAGTCTTATATTTAACTGGAAAAAAACATGAACACAACAAAGACAGACAGAAGGTATGTATGAGCCAGACCCAACTTCCTGTTTGGATATATTTTTTTTTTTTTTTTTTTTTTTTTTGTCCACTCAGTCTGCTGGAGAGCTGCCAAACCTGGACCCTGAGAAACAGCTGTAAATAAAGACTGCAGGACAGTAAAGGCTTCATGCTGTGCAGATGGACATTATATTTYTACATCAGTAATACTATCAAAACAATAAAATAAATACATTCCCATTTTCTTTGGACTGGTTAATATGAAGATACAAAATAAAAAAAGTGATGAATGTTTTTTAAGGTCACTGAGTGCAGGACTTTTTTTTTTTTCATTAAAAATAAACTCCTCTCCACGTCTGAAAAGTTTTTCCCACAGATCTGATCTCTTACCTTGTCGGCATCAGGATCCTTTCGGTATCCTCTGTTTCTCACCTTTTCCACTCCATACAGAGGGACGGCCAAAAAGACCAGAACCAGCAGGCGGGCTGAGAGGGAACACATCCTTAACGGAGGACAGACTGAGGACTGAGGAGCGTCTCTGAGGCGACTGGCTGACTCCTGCAGTCCAGAGGAGGGCAGGACCAGCAGAAAGCAGCCAGTCACCTTCCAGAAACTCAAGAATGCTTCTCTGTGTGATGTGTGGGGSTTCATGTACCACTCAGACTGAAAGAAAGGGTCATTTCAGGCATTTTAAAGTGAGGCTCTCTGTATGAACAAACAGTATCTGACCTGTAGCAGATACCTCAGTTTAGGGAGATAGGGAGACAGACTAACAAGTTAATGGCTTGTCAGAACATTGCCATGTTTTTTTGTCTCGCAGGGAAAGGTTTGGTTTTATTGAAAAGTATTTCTGTATCTATACTTAGCACAAAAGTAAGTAAATTTATGTTTGGTAGATTACTATTTGTTGTAACAATGCTAAATCTTATAGCAGCACCTGATCAGCAGCGGCTGGGAGTACCAGAAGCTCAAAACAAGAGTCAATAGTAACAACGTAAGCTGTTTGACAGAGAAGAATTTGCAAATTTGTGCACAACTCACATATTCAGCCCTCATCCCACTAATGCATGYTCCTTACAAATGTGGCACCATTTAAAAGAGGAAGTAACAGACTTTATCACTGCATGAGATTTATTGCCAAGAAGTAAGAAATATACCAAACACAAATGTACTTTTTGTGCTTAGTTTATATTCTTTTTATTTTTGTATACTCTTATCAGCTTGTTATGAATACTGCCTCCAAGGTTCAACCTGTTCAAAATTAATAAAAGACAAACAAAAAAATTATGTGTAAAGGTTATAASTCATTTAGAAGGCTTCTTCATAAAACAATTCTGTGAACTTGGACCATCGGCCAGTCATGAACCACAGATGGAGCTGACCACACCCCTCGCAGATGTGAGCTTTCACAACCAAAAGATGTGGAACTAAGCTGTGTTGATACTGGAGCGCAGTGCATTCAATGTGTGATGAACATCTGCCTCATGTTGTTTTCAAAACATCAGTTTAGTGATTCTCTTTGTGGTTGTGATGGTCGCAAATCAACTCGTTTTGAAGCTGTCTCTTTAAATCCACACCTGCTCTGCTCCAGCTTCCAGAGCGGTCCATTCCAGTTTGACAGAGCGGTTTGTGACTATATAGCTACACAGAAACTTATTTACAAATGAAATGAATTAAAAGATGTGAACACGCATCGACTTGTCCATCTAGCCTTACATGTTGGAGCTAGAGTCTGCAGAGGAGAATGAAGACCACCAAATTGCARWTGATAAAACCAGACCTTATTCTGTTGCAAATACTTTAATGTAATAGTTCAGAAAACATAGAAGGTAGAGAAAACTGAACGTACCGAGAAACATGACCCAAACAGAATATAAAGATATCTAAACATCACCTGGACAGACTGAATTCATTCTTTCTGCCTAGTCCAAGCACACAACAAAATGTTTTTAACAACTAAAAGTGGATCGATGTGTTCCCCTTAATTCTGACCCACTGAATGAGTGAAGAGCTTATGAGTGCAGCCAAGAACAAAACAGACTGCTGCTGTTTTAAATCATCTCATCAGAAATTTTACAGCACTTCATGCAAACACTAATTTATAAATGGTATTGCTGAAATACAGTATTATAAGGTATTTCCAAAGTAGTATTATGCTGTTTTCTAACAGCTCCTGTCTTCCAAATCCTGCAGGTTTATTCTAACGCTAACCGTCAAACTTTTACTACTTTCAATTTTGCACTAAATTTGTGCCAGATGTGACCCCTGGATGGCCCGGAAAGGCTAAATGTAGCTACTACTGGAACTATTTACTCTGATCAAAACCTGGAGTTTCATGTAAACGATGTAATAGAAAGCTATATACAGTATGTATGTTTATATATATATATATATATATATATATATATATATATATATATACATATATATATATATATATATATATATATACTGTATATATAAAGTGAACCTCCATGTATTTTTTAGCTCATCAGCCCGTTCTTTTTGCTAAACTGAAGCTGTATAGAGCTACAACAAACAGAATATCAATTATTCACAACTTTTCCACAAATCCCCACTTCAAAATGGCAGAACTGAATAAATGTGACAGACACATAAATTTAGAAATTCACTGTTTTATTTAAAAACATTTTTAACAAAGTAAGACAGCACAGTTGAGAAGAATATTGTATAAAAACACTTGAAAAACTAAGTCATTTTAAACATCTTAAACTTTCTTCTACATGACAGAACAAAAAAATACAAATTCCCTTTGAGCTTGTGTTACTGAACATTTCTTGTGTCTCACAGATCCAGAAACTAAAGTGGAACAATCAGTCCTCTTTGCAGCTTTTTAAATACAACAGCAGGATATGATTTTAAATTAATCACACAAATTATTCAGGAAGAACAATTTATACTCCTCACATCTATAATTCCTTGTGCTTTTATTCAGGCTGACTTAATAATTAGTAGTTCAATTAGTGGACCCTAAAGACAAAAAGATCAACGTCCACCACTTGATTTATTGTTCCTCAGTTTGAATCTAAGTACAAACTTACAGCATTTCACATCAGTAGTCATTCTTCAAAGATTCCTAAAACTGAATATTAAAAAGAAGCACTTTAAACCCAGTTGGTGCGTCGTTAAAGAGATGGACTGGAGACCTGTCCAGGGTGTCCCCCTGCAGGAGACTGGAACCAGCTCCCCCGGACCCGGAAGGGAAAAGCAGATAAAACACGAGTGGTTGGACGTCTTTGGAGACATTTGTGCACAAACACATAAGAAAATATCAACAATAAAAGACTTAAAGCAGGTAGTGTAAATATATGTAAAATGTCTAACCATAGCTCAGATGTTTGGGTTGAAATTTAGTTTAATAATAATCAGACAGACAAGCTGGCGGCTAGTCTGAGCCTGGAGCAAAGTGGATCGCTGACATCTGAAAACAACGTGTTTTATGATTTTTGTGTTCATCTTTTTCATTTCCCTGTGTTTATTTGTGCATCTTTCAAATGTCAGCTCCTCAGGTTTTATTCTAGCCATGCCCACATTTCTCGGTCTCAGCTGCAGCCTCCCACTGAGATTGGTTTACACTTCAATAGGATGTGAGACGGTGGATCAGGGGAAAAATGATCATTATCTCTCCCTCTGCCCTCCACATGTAGCACAGCTTACAGCTAAGCACAGAAACAACAGTGACAGCAGGATAGTTTGCTTCACATGAACAAACACGCCCACAAAGTTCAGAGCAATCACAGACTGAGAGCTGCAAGGACAGAGGTCTGACTGGGAGCAATGCACACGATGGCTAACCGAGGAAAGTTATGCATTTTTTTTGTCACTCAGCAGTGGGAGTAAGACATGCCACTTGAACTAAAACTCAATCTTTAACCCTGACTWTAAACACTGAGTCCTGCTATCAGTGTGCTTCTACAGCCAGTTATGTTTCCTCCTTAGYGTACCTCCTTGACTGTTTCCTGCCTCGACAACCTTTTAGTAATAAATCAGTTTTCCTTTTTACCTTCAAGCCTCTGTGTTTGTCTGCAGCCAAACACTGCTAATAATGACACTCTAATATTTCACTGTAGTTTATACAAACTCTTTTATAAACCCTTACATCACCATCAGTTTCACACGTTTCATTTTACATCAAATTTGATGAATTTTATGATCACAAACAGCAGCTAGCTGTATCAGTTCCAGCATGTTTCTGCCAGGAAGAAGTTATTTAAAACTAAAGCAGAATTCACATGAACCTTTTTTTAGTTTTATTCTGACAGCAAACCATTATAAAAATAAACTGGCCCTGCAAAGACTAGCTGCTTGCTCGTCAATCTGATCAGAATTTTTTTCTGATCAGCTTCTCCAAACTCATGCAATTCAAAGGACGAAATGCAACAGGTAAGATATTATTTGTTCAGATCCACATTATTCCTTTAACRACAGTTTTTTAAAAGCTAAAAAAGTGGTGCCTCGTGTGCATAAAAACCTAAAGTGTGAAGATAAAGCTTCTGTTCAGCACAAAGAAGAAATCATACAGATACAGTTTACCTTTGGGATCATGACCCAACAGCCACTGTCAGTGTTCTGACTAATACAGTGAAAACCTTAAACTCTATAATAAAAGAATATTTACATAAATAAAGCATTTGTTCATCAACAAACACTATAAATCATTCAGCTAACATTTAGAAAACACTTGATCTAAAGCAGCCTGTAATAAGAACTGAGCATTAGTGGTTTGGTTGGGAATCAGCTGTGTTCAACATTCAGACTAAAAGCTCAGTAAAGCTGGAAATCACAGCTTTCAAACAAACTAACTAAATAATGTAACAATACCAGAACCTCCAGGCTATGGTCCACAGACTCAGGTCCAACRAGGCACAATGCTAACACCAGATGTTTGTGGAATTTTGCAGGTAATAAACATTTTAGTGACGTGAATACAGAAAGCAGCATAATCGAACTGAATGTGTCATGGATGGATGGATGGATGGATGGATGGATGGATGGATGGATGGATGGATGGATGGATGGGTAGCAGAAACCATGGAGTATAACTTGTTTTTACTCTAACATCCACTATTGACTTGGTTAACTGTTTTCACCTTTGATCTTACATCCTGCAAAGGACTCACGAACTGGAGATAAATAAAATTAAATGAGAAGTTGACCCTTTCATGTTACAAAGAGACAGACTCTGATTTCATTTATCACCTCCCTGCAAACAAAGGAGCCCGTCTGTTACTTCAAAGAACATCTAAATGAACCAGACTCTGCATACACGTCAACTTGTACGGATTGTCCGTAAGTTATAAGGATTTTACATCATTTTGCAGGTATACGGACGTATCTTACAATCTTCCGGATTTTTTCAAAACCTAATTTTCAAATTTATCTAACCTGTCAGAGCCTGTAGGATGATTAAAAAAACAATAAATAACATCAAATAGCCATCTACCAACCTTTTCTGCCGCTAGAAATAAATTGTTCCGCTCTACTTTCCTCCTGCTTCGCAGCAGGCGCTTTCATCTCCGCGRCCATTCAACTAGAAGTTACTGTGTGTTTTGGAGAGCGAGTTATGTCAYGTCACAGTTCTCAACCAATCACGAGCTTAGCTCAAGACAAAGAGTTAGTTGAAACTTAGGTTCTTCCTCATAAAGTCTGTTTTCATTAGTATTAATTTTAGGAAGTTTCCATTTATTTTGCTAGCACAGAAAGGTGATTTTAGCGTGTTAGTGGTTCATTAGAATGTACAGGAGAATCGTCCAYAAGTAGGAGCCATCTTGWGTAAGCCGACGTCACATATCAATCTGTGAAAATAATAYGGTCTCAATTTGTGCTTTTGCCTGTATTTTCCTCTGAACCTCATTTTAATAATACACGGATGTACTCCAAATGYGATTGCTTTTTGCCTGCGTGTTTTATCGTGTTCTGCATCGGAAAACTGCAAGAATCTCATTCCTTCACTGTTTTAAGACTGAGTTCTAAAATATAAAAAGGTTTTGCTAGCGTTAACCAGAATCAAACCCGGTGGTGCTCCGTTCATAATTAAACGAATTAATCATAAAGAGTTATGATTAATTTTAGCGTTAATTAACTCATTCCTACAGATGGATGGATGAATGGATGAATGAATGAATGAATGGAGGAAGCAGGAAGGTTGCAGAGGTCAGATATCCTTTGGGTCCTTGCTCTCCTCAGACACCTGGTGGACCGTGTGGTGGGCAGTGTCCTGGATGATGCAGGTGTGTGAGAGGTTTAAAGCTGGATGCTGCTGGGGTCCGACSGTAACTTGTCGGACTTCCGACAGCTCGCTCATCGGAGTCAATCTAAAAACAGACAGGACACACGGCAGATTAATCATGGGGATTGAAAGAATCAATATCTACAGTCTACGGCTGCAAGACCGAGGGCACCTGTTCTCCTATGTTTGTTATGTTCTGTCTTCTTGTGAATGGGTGTTCTGAACTGTAATTTCATTGTGCTCTGTATAATGACAACAAAACACACTGACTTAATTTTTTGCGGGGTAGGTGGGGGGTTCTGGGTTGCCTGGATCTTCTTGGAGGTGTCAGCTCCAAAGAGAGTTCTGCACCCTCAGAAGGGTCCTCTTGGTGTTCCCTCACTGACATAAGGGGTAAAAGCAGCTCCTCGACTTCTTTTCATGCAAGCAGTTTGTAAGTCAAAACTGTATTTGTCCAGAGGGCCAGTCGAGGTCACCAGCTGGATCTTAGCCAAGTCAAATAGATGGAAGTGGAGCTCAGGATCTGCCTGCACCAACGGCAGGAGAAATCACTGGGTGAGTTTTAATTCATCCTGAAAATTGATCAAAGGAGTCAGGGATCCTCACAGTTACTGCAATTACAAACTGAACTGCTTTCATTTATTTTACAGACAAACTGKACTGACAATAAAACAGCAATAATCCGGAATGGATTAGAAAATTTCCTCTCAAATAACAAAGCCAAATCTTAACAACAAAACACTTAAGATTTAGTAAATTAAAATGCCAAGAGCCAAGATGTGAGMAAACATAACACCAAAGATTAATATTTTTCATAATTAGATAAACTAAATAAAGGATTAAAGTGCAAGATTTAAATTTCAGCTGGACACAGAATATCTACTAGATATGAAGACTTCAGATGTAAGTGGAGAAATTAGGTTGCTCATTTGTAAGAAAAATGTTTCATAGACAGGTGCAGCTATTTCTTCATTATTTACTAGTTATTTACAGACTGAACTCATTGTCATTTGAATCTGACATGCTGTAAAGTTAGCTCTCTGCAGGCGCAACAAGGGTCATGAAGACATCACAGCACAGAGCTGGARGGTTTGAAGAGGCTAAATTACATGGTCTAGAACAAACAAAATGCACCCATGGGTCAAAAAAGTAAAGCTAGGAGGAAACAAAACATGATTGTAGACACAATACTCTTTAAAAGGTGAAATTAAAGCGTAACTAAACCACAAGTCAACTTTTTTTGTAGATAAGTTATCTAAAGTGGGCCTTGAGGATTCCTTATTTCTGTGCAAATTAGGACATTTGTGGGTAAATTTGATTAATTTTGCAAAATTTKGTCTAAAACCATCTCAGTGCTGCCCTCTGTGGGTTGAACTGTGGCTAYTGCAGTTGAATTTTCCTATTTGTTAAAACGGTATAGCATGGTACATGTTTACATCACAGCTCCCATGTTTGAGTATAAAAGGCCCCTCCAATAATTTCATGGCATGTACCGGTAGTTATTTTATTTAAATAACACCAGATCACACCAAGAGCAATTTCTGCAGTCGCTCCTCCACATCCACCTCTCTTATGAAACACCAAACTGGGGGTGCGGTTTATATCACCAGTGCTGACACACAGTCATGTATCTTTTTTCTTCTTTGGCCTACCTCCACAAGACCTATTCCCTAGGGGAAACACTGGTGAGTTTGCGTGTACGTCATGAAAGCTAAATGAAAATCTTGTTTGAAGATAAAGAGGGACACCCTGCTCTCATGGCGTGTGGCAGCTTGTCACACCCTGGAACCACAAATGAAAAGAGTCTAGACCGAAAACGCCTTGTGTGCCGTGATGGCAGATCCAGAAGACGCTGCCCTTTGTTGAACTACATCTAAGCTCTTAAAAACACTCGAGGATTCTGAGGTCAATGCTGAGTTTGCACTATAAGCTCATACTGATAATACATAACAGCTAAATCCAGTAAATTACAAGWGTTTTTGGAGATATTTTTAAACATGGCTATATTTTGGATGTGCTTTTGTAAAACACGGACACACAAACCAGCTTCATGCTCATCTTACCTCCCATCTGGAACTCGGTTGATGCTTTCTGATTGGCTGCTGACTTTGCTGGAGCTCCCTCCTTTGCTGCGTCTCTCTCCCCCCTCCCTCTCCCGTTCTTTCTCCCCTCTCCTGGAGCTTCGGCTGGAGGTGCCTCGGTCCAGCTGCTCTCTAGCCAGGGYGTCAGACAGCGAGCCTTGGGTGTTGCCCACAGCAGACACGCCCTGACTGGTGATGATGCCCACACCAGTTGGAACAATGCCGGTGCTCGTGCCCATAGACTTAGAGATGACTTTGAGCTTGTGGGAGCTGGACTTGTAGTGCTTCTTCTTGTGCTGGACTCGGCTGTTGTGCTTCAGGAARAACTCACAGGACTCCTGCAGCACCCGGCGGCTCTCGCTGATGGGACTAAGGGTGGCAGGACAGGACAGTTAATGGATTCGTGTTTCAACTTCAACAATTACAAGGTGGTAAAAGATGTATTCTTACTCTTTCTTGTGGGTTCTGTTGAAGAAGTAGGCCCACTCAGAACASGTCTTTTTGCTGCTGACCCAGAACACTGCAGATATTCCAACCACCAGAGTCATCAAGTATTTTACAAGAAACAGTGAGAGGTCAGGACGCTGGAGCTCAACAGCCTGGAACACAAGACACAGGTCCAAATGGTAAAAAGATCCTTGTGGCTTAAAGCAAGTATGTTAAAGGGCCTATATTATGTGTTTCTCAGGCATATATTTAAATAGTATACCATAATAA